CCTTCCTTTCTTCCAAGCTTTTACCATGCTGGATGTTGGATCCCCTCAGCTCCCCTAGGGCAGAGCTCCACTTTCACTGCTTTTTTAGAAAAAACCTTTCCAAAAAACATTACAGGCATTCCATGCTGATAACACTGACCTGTGTTATCAGCTCTAACTGTGCCTGCAGGAAAATCAAACAGGACCATTGCATAAGGGAGGATTTCTCAGCTCCCTTCTCCCTCCTCAGAGCCCTGAGGGATTTTTCAGCATCTGCGGTAAAGACCCCTCTCCTTATCTCTGAAACTTTTCATCATCCCAAAGATTTCATGAGTCCTTGCCTGGGAGTGAAAATAAGAAATAGGGCTCCCAGCCTGAATGATTACTTGAGCACATTTTGCACTAGGTCTTGTTATAAAAGGAGAAAAATCCTCCTGTCTTCTCCCTCACACGCCCAGTTTCTCTTTGGAAAAAAAAAAATAAAAAGTCTAAATCACTGTAAGTGACTCTGGTTTAGCCTTGGCAAGCCATTCACAGCAGCTCTCAGGCAATCCAAGTGAGACACAAATATAAAAGATGTCTCCAGGGTCTGTTTTAATGGGAAGAGCAGACACCCTGCACCAGCTCCATCATGGATTATTTTCAGCAGGAAGCACAGACAAGGAAACAGCTGCAGCAGCTTTTACACCTCCACCAGCTGACCTGCACTGCCCAAGGTTGTCCTGAGAGCATTGCATGGGCCAATTCTGCCATCTCTGCAAAAATAAAATACAATTTTGTGTCAATGAAGGAGGGATCTGTGCCAGGGTGAAGCTCAGCCCACTCAGAGTTGGCTGCAAGGGCAGGGCTGCAGCTCCCTGTGCCAGGAGGAGCATCCTGACAGCTACAAATGCCATCCCTTAAGCGCCTGCACAGATGGGTGCAGCAATTCATCAAGAAGACGGTGCAGATTTTATTCTCTGAACAAAAGTGCTTTGACTTTTTTTTTTTTGTTTGGCACAGCAGAAATGTTCCCAGGACTCTGGCAGCAAGATTTGGAAGGTGGGTTAGCAGGAAAAAAAATGTAACTTGTATAGAGAAGGATGCGCAGAGGTGGGAGTGAATGGAGAGAAGGAGGTTTGCAGGTTTTTGGACAGAAATAGGGAATTTTTTCACAGAAAGGGTGGTTGAGCACTAAAAGGGGCTGCCCAGGGAGGTGTTCAAGGAATGATGGGATGTGGGAAATCATTGCCAAGAAGGATTTGAAAAGAAAAGGAAAGGAAGGAAAGGAAGGAAAGGAATGAAAGGAAGGAAAGGAATGGCTAGATGTGGGAAATCATTGCCAAGAAGGATTTGAAAAGAAAAGGAAAGGAAGGAAAGAAAGGAAAGGAAGGAAAGGAAGGAAAGGAAAGGAAGGAAAGGAACGGCTGGATGTGGGAAATCATTGCCAAAAAGGATTTGAAAAGAAAAGGAAAGGAAGGAAAGGAAGGAAAGGAAGGAAAGGAATGACTGGATTGGGAAATCATTGGGCACTGGAAGGAGCTGCCCAGGGAGATGCTCAAGGAATGACTGGATGTGGCACTCAGTGCTCTGGTTTAGTTGACCAGGTGGTGTTTGGTCAAAGGTTCAACTCAATGATCTTGGAGATCTTTTCCCACCTTAAACATTCTCTGATTCTATGATTAAAATAACCATTTCTGAATCCTTTAATGTGACAGAGCTGGAGTTAATTGGGATTTTGCTGGAGTGGGGAGCAGCCCCGTAAAAGCAGAGAATTTCAGTCTGTTCAGTGGGGCAGGGCAGATGCTAGAGCACTCCTCCTTGGGTGGCTGCCACCAGGTGGTTCCAGTAGTTCATCTGCTCAGCTGGTTTGATCCCATGGCACGTCACGATTTTCCTGAAGCGAGGAACAGAGAACCTGATCCTTTCTGGGAAAAACGTCTGCTCCGAGTGCAGCTCCTGCAGCTGAATCTTTAATTTGTCCAGGCACAGCCCTATGAACACATCCTCCAGTTTGATGAAGGGAACACTCTCAGAAATGTTATAGATCTGGCTGGCCACGTCGCTGGATAAAACATATCCAGTCCCGGAACAAAAGGGTGGGTAGGTCGCCCCTGGATACTCTTCCCTGCTCACATACCACTTACTCCTTCTTGTCCTGATGGGGTACTCGTGCAGCTTTAAAAACCCTGTGAAGAACCCAGTGCTCTTCTTTTTCCTCAGGAGCAGCTCAGTGAGGTAAAACACGTTGACAAACACGTCCGTGTCGGTTTTCATGGCGAAGCTGGCCTGGGAGCAAAACCTGTGCATCCACTCCATGCCCATCATGGTTTTCAGGGTCAGGTTGTAGTAGGTGTCTGTGAAGTTCTTCTGGATGATGTCTCTGTATGTCTGGCTCTCAGCAGCCAGGCCGGCCTGCTGGCTGGGCTCCCCAGGGCTCCCCAGCAGGAACAGGGTCACCAGGCGCTTCCCAGCCACCGTCCTCTCCCTGCCCCAGCTGTGCCTGATGGCCATCCTGGCATCCAGCTGCTGGAACGAGCACGCCACCAGCAGCACCAGGAAAGGGGGGTCCTTGTGGCAGTCAACGTCTGGGAGCTGGGAGAAGTTCCCTTCCGTCCTCCTGAAGGGCTCCATGGGGAGCAGGTAGCCCTGGCTGCTCTCACAGAACAGGCACAACTCGGTCCAGGTGTGGAAAAGCCAGAGGCTGGCACTGCTGAGCCCCACCAGGCAGACAAACAGCCTGAACTTCCTGGAATCCATCTGAAAAGGAACAAAGAGGAGCAGTACATCCATAAAAGTAATCTCTGGTTCCTCTCAGTGCTCCTCTGATTCAAAGCCAGGTCAGCACTGAAGGGAAGCTGCTGTTTGAGGCTACTCAGCCACCTGCATTTCTCCTCCTGTCACCCCCAGGAGATGTTCTGCTGGCAGATTCACACTTGGACTTGACCTGAATCTGCCCTCCAGGCCAGTGTGTCCTCAGAAACCACACAAGCCTGTCCATTAACACCAGGTTACCCAGGCTGATCCTTCAAGCCCCCTCCCCATATTCAGCATCCTACAAACCAAGTTTAGACCCACCAGGGCCAGAGAAGGAGCAGAAAGGTGTGATGAGATGGGGCTTGGTCTCTTCTCCCAAGTGCAAGGCAGCAGAACAAGAAGAAATGAAGCTGATGCTTCAAAACCCCTCCCCATTTTCAGCATCCTACAAACCAGGTTTAGACCCACCAGGGCCAGAGAAGGAGCAGATTTATGTATCTGTCTCAGAGGGAAGAGAATAACAATTACAGTCTTTTGGGTTTCTGTGTTTTTTATTTTTGTTGTTTGTTTTTGTTTTGTTTTGTTTTGTTTTGTTTTTGTGGGGTTTTGGGGCTTTTGTTTGTTTGTATTTTGTGGGGTTTTGGGGTTTTTGTTTGGTTGGTTTTAGTGGGTTTTTGGTTTTTTGTTTTTGGTTTTCTTTGGGTTGTGGGGTTCTTTTTTTCTGTTTGTTTGTTTTGGTTTTGTTTTTTGTTTTGTTTTAGTTTGGGTTTTTGGGGGTTTTTTTGGTTTACATACCATGTTTTTCCATTTGTGCCTGTGTCCCAGAGCCAGCAGCTGTCCCAGGGTCACAGCCAGCCAGGTTCCTCTCATCTTCATCACCTCTGCCTCCCGTGGGGCTCTTGCACCAACCCAGAGACTGCTCCTGATCCCTTTGCTGGAGGGGCCATGAGTCACATTTCTGAAGCTGGGTCAGCTGCTCTGAAAAAGAGAAAAGAACCAAAACAGCAGAGGGTCACATTATTATTTAATATGATGTTGCAGCCTGTGCAGAGTTTGAGTGACTCACCAGGACATGCTGAGGTGAGAAGGGGCTTCTCCTATTCCCCTTCCCTTTTTAAGTGAGAAAGATCCAAACAACAACAATGCTCAACTCCTTTAACCTTATAAGAGATTAATGAGCTGGACATCTGGTTATAAATCTAATGGAAATTTTTGAGTGAGAGAAAAATTATCAAAGCAACCCCCAAATCCTTACAGTGCCAAAATGATGATACATCTCCACGAATTAACCTGGTGAGAGGAATTTAAGACTTGATTTCTTATTCCAGTAATCCATAGACTCTCCTACTGCTATTTTAGAGCTCTGGGATGGGGCATTTTTTACCAGGGCAACCCTTCCACCTTCCCCCTTCTCAACAAGGAATTGTATCTGGAAACACAGCTGGAAACACAGCAAACCAAGTTAAACCATGGCCAGAGCTGCAGATTTCATGGAAATTTGATCTCTGCCTTCTGACCAGGAATGTTCTGTGTAGACTCCCCCAAATCACCTCAGTGCCTTCCTTTTGCTCAAATTCCCCTTTCCAGGCAATCAGAGGTTTTGCATTGCAGGGTTGAAACTCATTTGGAAGTTCCAGGTGTCTCTGGAACCAAATCCTGCTCATTTTACCCCCAAGAATAATCCCATTGACTTCTGGGAATTCTCAAAGCATGAAACAAGGAGATCTGGAGTCTTGGTTTACTGGAACTGCTCCCACAGTGAAGTGCATTTTTGCAATAATTCACTAAGGAATTTTGACAATATTTCAAAAGTTCACATTTCTTCTGGCACCTAAATTTTAATTCTCTTTATCCTTAAATAGAGTAATTCTCAGATCTGATTTTTTTTCTTGTATTTATAGCTCACAGTAGTTTTGTAATTAACTTTACAACTGCTTTAGTTAAATACCTATGTAAAATTGCAGTTGTATTATATGCGTATACAAAAAATTATACTAAATTCTGCTCTGCATCTGTTCTCACACTTTTCAGTGGCCTGGGAGGAAGCACATGAATGACCTGAATTGTGTGTTCAGGACAGGAAGGTGTTCTGAGGTTGACAATGGAGATGTAGAGAGGTTTTTTCCTGTCACCAGCTCACAGAAGAGTGTTTGAGAGTCTGATATTTCTCTGTTACAGAAATTCCAGAACATGTACAAACCACACACTGAAATAAGGAAACAATGGAGAGCAACACTCTGTTAAAACCCATGAAAACCTTTCCACAAATGTGCAAGGTGCCATAACACACAAGAACCATTTTACAAGATTTCAGTAGAATCAGACTGATGTAAAATGACCATTACTTACTTTTTTTTCCAGCATTGGTAACAGATCTATAAAAAACTTTTAAAATGTCCTTGATTTGGACAGCTGGGTGAGCAGCCTCCCACCTTTACCATTTTTTACTTCCAGACTCTGATTGCCTTCGCCTTTCAGCCCATGTGTGAAGGAGCACAGACACAAAAACCCACAAACACACACAGCTGGGCAATGCAAATGCTGCCAAATGCATGCAAATTGTAAATATTTTATTTTAGAAGCTTTGCAAGTGGCACAGGCATCCATGGATCCTCTCCCAGCAGGTCCTTATCAACTGACCGTGATAAGAAGAACCATGGAACCATGGAATGGTTTGGGTTGAAAAGGACCTTAAACATCATCCAGTGCCACCTCTGCCATGGCAGGGACACCTTCCCCTGTCCCAGGCTGCTCCAACCCCAATGTCCAACCTGGCATTCACTGGGAGAACTCCAAGGGAAAGGGGTGACAGACACACGGGCTGCTTCCTCCTCTTGCCAAGGCCATATTTTTTCAAAAACCATCCATTCAATCCTTGCTTTCAGATGAACAGGGATGTTTCTGAACATTAAAATTGTTTCTGAACACTAAAATTGTTCCTGAACACTAAAACCATTTTACATTTATGCAGTCAGGGCAGTTCCTCAGAGCACTGAAGTTTCTCTGTCAGGGAATTAAATCACCCTGATGTTGTCTCCTTACCCCTGAGATGCTGAGCCCTCCTCCCATCCCCATTTTGCATCAAAACAAGTATTTCTGGTTTTATATAAAGTCCTTCTGCATGATGAAATATTTGATTTTTCTCTGTGCTTTCAGTTAGAAATCAGGGGTTTTAATTATCTCAATATTATTTCCATCTCTTGTTGTTCCAACTGCAAAATATTTGCCAAAAAAATTGCCTGTTCCATATCCTAGAGACTTTTCTTAAGCTGACTGGCACTTCATGGGTCTCTGTGGCTTGCATGGAATCCTGGCACCAAACCATGTGGGAGCTGCAGCCTCTTCTCACACTCACCTGAAATAAACACATAGAAAAAAAAAGACTCTGCTCTCTCCCAGCATCTTAAGGGGAGCTGAAATGTTTTATTCTCTTTGTTATTTATCAAATCCTTCCTTTTCCTTGAGATTGTCTCTTTTAGGCAAGTCACGATACTTCATTTTCCAGCACAAAGTGTTACAGCAAGTGAACACAAACAAGTAAACACTCTGCAGTGGTTACAGATGACTCCACAATCTGCATTTTGTAGCAGTCCCCAGATTGGTGGCCATGAGTTAAGCCAACCTCATCAAAGAATTTTCTTCTTTCTGTCACTCTTCCATTGCTTTCTCTATCCATTTTTGTCTGCTGGGCTTCAAACTCATCCTTGATGTAAGCGCAACATTCTTGTCCTATAATAGCAAATTTTTCCTTAGGGCCATGGGGTTCTGTGGAGCCTTGAGAACATATCCAGCGATTAGTTACATTTAATATTTTAGCTATTTGAAATTTTCATGGGAATTTTCATGCCAAATCCCTCAGTGAAACTCCAAAGGTGTTTTTGGCAAACAAAGATTTTGGTGAACTATGGAGATACAGACATGAGCAAGTCTCCAGTTGCAAGGCTGTTCATTCTTTTTCCTCAATTTTATCCTGGCTGGGGGTAATAATTTAAGTTTAATAGTGTAATTAATTATTGCTTCCTTTCTTGTGGCCAGCATGGAGGGTGTAAATCCCACTGGATTCCCAAGGCTGTGCTAGTTTGTCCCACAATTCCTGAAATAAAACAAGACTCTCTGTCTGATGAAATTCTTAGAAGAGCTCCAAAGCATGGAAATAACTGATTTAGAAATATTCCCTCTACTGCTTTTGCCATGTTGGCGCAACAGGGAAATGCTTCAGCCACCCAGAACAGGGATCCACTGAAAGAAATTTACAACTCTCTTTGCATGGAGGTTCTGTAAAGCCAATTTGCCAATAATCTCCAGGAGAGTTTCTACATTTGATAACCTCCATCCCTAATTTATTCCCTCAGAAACTATTCCTTGTCCAGCAGGGGTGACTACCCATCCACCAGGGGGAAATTTAGAATATAAAATTCTGATTAACTGAATTTTTGTGCTATATTCTGGTTTAATATCTCTGTAACTGTGACTGCTCACAAACAGCAGGGCCAGCCTTGGCATGAGGGAATAATTCAAAACATTTCACAGGATCTAGGAAGCCCAAAGCTGGAGACCTCATCAGGGCTTTCAAAGCCATTTGAAAGCAGCCTGAGTACCAGCAGGCCATATAATAAAGTATTTCTGTATTTAAAAGTATTCATGGCTATAAACTCTGTTTGGCTATTACTATATAAAATATTTAAAACTCCATACAAAGGGTGAACTAATAATTCAAAATTCCTTTAAATCTATTACAGTGAGCCATTCCAAATTTATTTATTTATTTACTTTTTTTTTTTTGTGAGTGTGGTAATGAGCATTTTGGGTAATTTAGCAATTTTTGGGTTAGTTAACCATTTTATTAATTGCTCCTGAGTCTTGTACTAACTGAAAATCTTCACATTTCATATTTTTCTGGCAAAATTGGAGTTCATCAAGAGCCTGTACCTTAAAATTTTCTTAATCTCAGGTAATGAGCCTTTTCAATGTTTTAATTTTAAGGATATTGGCTTTATCTTACCAGGCCATTGTCTCATTTAATTTGGTTCTCACAGGTTCTGCTCTTTTTGATTTTCCAGGAATCTCCCTGGCCCACACAAAGGGGATTACTGCATCCTTAATTCTCTTTGGGATGGGTTCAGATTGGGAAGTCAGTGTAATACAAAAATCGAAGTTTCCATGTATTTAGATGCAGGGATTTTAATTTGAATGTATCCTTCCTGAAACTTGATTTTTGCACTCAATTTTCCCAGTAAGTTTTTCCTTAATAACAGTTTTGGAGAGTTGG